ACATGATTAAAACACAGGCAACTACCATACGTATTATTGACTTGCGATCAGTTTACTTTTATTTTTTAATTTAAAGCATTAATATTCTTTAAAAAAACTCTTATAATAAAATAGTATTTGAAAAGTGCTTTAAGTAAAAAATTAAATCTGATTTGATTACAGCTGTTAGAACAAAGACTATTCGGATTTGAAAGGACATAAAAACGTTAATATTCAACACATAAGATACTTGACCATTTCAATGTTACACACCAGAAAATCAGAAAAACTACACAGTATTCTGCTAATGTGCGGCTGTACTTTACAAAATTTATTTAAACTGAAGAAATATTAGAGAAAACAAGCTTAAAGATCCGGCATTCTTACATGTTATCTAGGATCGAGCTCAGTGATTGAAGCTTCATTCACTGTACATTGGACAAAATTGGTTTTTGATTGACCAGGCACAATGACTTCGGAATTATACTGTTATGCAATTGTGTGCATAAAGAATGCAGGTTCTGATAGCACTGAAAGAGAGAAAGAGTTGCTACTAAGCATCAGAACAACTGAAGTCATGGTTGGCCTATCAGCTTCATTTTCTTGAACACATAGTAATCCAATATGAATACATCTGATAATTTCACGACTGCAACGACCCCTTAAAATGGGATCTATCATATTTAAAGTTGTCTCTTCCTTCCAGTTTCTCCATGCCCACAAAAAAAGAAAAATATGCAGATACAATTTGTAGATGCAAAAAATCTACCGTCATGAAAATAGGGTCTGATCCCGTGAGGTTGAGACCACTGACAATCCGCTAGGCCTGCACACATGAAAGGACAAGCATGAAGCTTATGGAAAACACCGAGGTGGTGTTTTCCGTAGGCACTCCGACGCTCAAGTCAACAATGCTGAAAGAGATTATTTGATAAGAATTAAGGAGAAGAAGGATTACCGAAAGTCTTGTCCAATACTAGGACTACGGTGGAGGCATCGGGTTCTTAGGAACAAGAACTTTAGGAGCAAATAGATGGTTTTGAGTAGTGTAGATTGACTATGAGAGATTCCCCCTTTATGACAAGGCTGACCTTTGTTTATAAAGTGAACCCAAGGGGTTGGAATCCTAGTAGGACATTAAGTCCTATTTTGGGAGATAATCCCTATCATGCAAGAAATATGATTTTTTGACTTTATCAAGTTAAGTTTAATAGTTTGAGTAAGATTTCTTAGTAGGAGAGGAAATAGAATGGGATTCTGATTTCCTGTTTATGGACTGTTGCAGGCTAATGGGCTGAAACCCAATTTAGCTTAACTTATAGGATAGTCCAACTCATAGAGTGGGTAGTTCACAAGGTGATTTTAAGCGTAGGTCCAATCGGGATTGGGCTGAATCCTTGGGCCGTCATATGTTTATTTCGTTATTGGACCTCGTCAGGCTCAAGACGATTTTTGGACCTAACACAATGTTAGTGACTTTCTTAATTTATTAAATTTCATGGCCATCGCTTATTATTTGCAGAAGATGAAAAAATCGTTAAAAGATTTTTGCTTACATAAGTTAGCAAGTTCTCTCCTTCCTCTTCAATACCAAATCTAGTGTTCTTTTCACCACTAATGATTTCCAAAAAAATCATTAGTTAGAATGAATTAGCTGTAAAGAAACCAAAAGGTAACCATGATGAGATGCAAATCATTTCTGCTTTGTTATTCTTGATCCGTTCAGTGATAGGAATCCAAAATTTAGTTGTGATAAGCTCCAAAAACTTACAGAGTCCCCGCAATTATTCTTGTATTGCCTTGAGTTTGATCCATTTCAAATAACTTTGCCGTTCCAAAATCTGAAATTTTTTGAATCATATCTGCATCTAAAAGAATGTTGCTGACTTTCAAGTCACGATGAATGATTCTGAATCTTGAATCTTCATGAAGATATAGAAATCCTCGAGCTATTCCTCCTATGATTTTCTATCGTTTTTCCCAATCCAATAATAACCGCTTCGTTGGATCGACAAATACACTAAATTCCAAACACTTAAACTGACTGCAGAATTTTAGTCAAGAACATTTGCATTAATTCAATATACAGAATATGATCTAGATAATTATTGAAACCAGAGTAAATAAGAAATATAGAAACCAGAAGTTAGTGACGCCATACAAAATATGAAGTTATCTAGGCTTGAATTTGACACAAACTATCATAAGAAGCCTTTCTTATCGTCCAAGCAGAAACCTTGAAGCCTAACTAGATTTCTATGTGAAGCTTGGCCACCAAGAGAACCTCATTTTAAATTCTAGTTCTCCTTGTCTGAATCTCTAGACAGCTCTTTACAGCTACATTCTGTCCATTAAGAAGTCTCCCCTGAAATCATATAGAGTAAAAAATGAGGTAAACGCGAAACAATTGAATTGCCTTCCGGGAATTCAAACATCATAATTGAATGCATTTTGTCACCAATCGGTGCTTCTTGCACTGTCGCAATTACCTTGTAAACAGAACCGAACACCTTGTCCAAGCTTATTATCAATTGAAAAGTTATTTGTTGCCAACTTTGATAGTGCTGAAGTCGAATTGCAGGGATTCCACAGTCTCAATTTCATCATCATCTTAACTGTAATAACTAGTTAATTAATATATAGGTACACAGTAATATTGTAAATTAAAAAAAAAAAAAAAAAAAAAATTGATACTGCTGAGCTGAAGTCTATAGCAAGGATTCCACTGTCTCAATTTCCTCGCGACCTATCTGTTAACTCCTAATTCTATCAAGAAAGAAACAAACATATTAATACTTACTTTCTGTCTCTTCATTATTTCTGATCTCCTTCTTTGCTCTTTTTCTCATGAAAAACACGTAAATGAACCCAACAAGTGCTATGAAGATAATTGTCGAGAAGACAATACACACAGTTCCAGACGAAATGCTTGTTTTATATCTGCAAAAAATAATCTAAATTTTGTGCACAATTCGGACTACAAATTAAAGTTATATTTACTTTACATGAAATATTTGGGTTTCATTAATTGCAAACTTACCAAGTGTGGCAGTAGTCCGTGGTGGAGAAGAAGGTGGAACGACAGTGTGCAAGTTGGAGAGAAGAAAGGGTGGAGCATCTGCAGAGTAATTGTAGAAGGGATACATCTCCCACGAAAAATGCAAGTTGGTCCCGAACGATACCTCCTTGGTTTAGACGACAACAATTTGAAATCAGCCACGGATTGACGGAGACAAAAGTAAAATCACTTGTGATATATCCGGGAGTACACTGCATTAATGCAATATTTTCTGAAAGCTTGTCAAATCCCTGATTCAGTTGCAAACTTAAGCCTAGACGAACCCGCAGATGCTTTCACTACGGTCCGGTCCATTAGACTCTCCCAAGTCTCATTAAACTGGGTCAAATATGTTGGGATTTTGCCCGTATTAAACAATATACTTCAGGTTCTAGCTCCAAATTCCCAAAAACGAGCTATTTGGATAGCGTACCAAAGCAAGGAGAATCTTGGCTTCCCCAAGAAAGTGCTTCTTTTGGTTGGGACAGTGTGACATAATATCGGGAGTTGCTGAAACTGATACAGGCGGCACAAGACTCAAGGGAGGTATCATCCTCTGCAAACCGCACGAGCATTACTTTGTCCGGGTCTTGGCCAATGGTTCCATTGTTAGAAACCTCCATTTGTGTATATTTGAAGCAAGAGAAGAGAGGATGATGTTGTGCGGTTTATTCATAGGTACTATTGTGTGAAGTTTTCTTTGTTGTTAATAACATTTCTGTTGGCTAGTAGTGAGACAAATGCTTATAAGCGTAGATAGGATAATAACAATATGAATTCGAACCCATTGCACGATTATGTACTCTCATGTCTTAACTAACAAAATGATCAGGAGATGCTGAAAGTAGAAATTCAAGAAGAAAGCTTAAAGAACTGAACGAAAAAAATGCAGAGGAAGAAACAGAGAAGCTGTTATAACAAACTGCACTTTTAGTAAAGTGTTTTTCTCATTAACTGTTTGAATCTTGCGCAGAAACACTTATAATGTGATGGTGTCTGAAACGCACCGTTTACATAACTCATCGGAGTTTACAAAAAAACCAAGCCATCTTTTCTATCACAATTTCCCCAGGTTTCTACAAAATAAACAAAACATAAACTGCAATAGAAACCAAAACAGAGCATGCGAATACAGAAAACAGAAACTCCTTTTTACGTCTGACACCTACACTTCATATCACATATTTCCCCTCAAACTAAAACACTCTTGACCCAAAAAGAAGACTCCTGTTTACGTTTGACACACCTAAACTTCATATCACAATATTTCCCCTCAAACTAAACCATTCTTGAACCATAGAAAGACTCCTTTTAAAATCTGGCACTAAAGACTGCAGATCACAAACACCATTAAACTGCAAGAACAAAACTGTGTTACACTTCACCGATACTGCAGATCACAAAACACCATTAAACTTGCAAGAACAAACTGAGTTACACCCACTGAGACTGCAGATCGCAAACACCATTAAACTGCAAGAACAAAACTGTGTTACACCCCACTGATACTGCAGACCACAAAACACCATTAAACTGCAAAGAACAAACTAAGTTACACCCCACTGATAATGCAGATCACAAACACCATTAAACTACAAGAACAAAACTGAGTTAAACCACTGCCAAGAACAAACTGAGTTACACCCCATGATACTGCAGATCACAACACCATTAAACTGCAAGAACAACACGTGTTACACCCACTGATACTGCAGATCACAAAACACCATTAAACTGCACGCAGAACAAAAACTGAGTTATCACTGCAAGAACAAAAAAGTGTTACACACCCAATGATACTGCAGATCACAAAACACCATTAAACTGCAAGAACAAAACTGAGAACAACAACTGAGTTACATCACTGCAAGAACAAAAACTGTGTTACACCCCACTAAATACTGCAGATCACAAAACACCATTAAACTGCAAGAACAAACTGAGTTGCACGACTGTAGTAGCATTACTTTGGCAGTTCACAAACAACATTCAGCTGAGTACGCAGCATAGCAAAACGATTACCAGGAAGAGATTTTGTTAAGACATCAGCTTTTTGAAATTCTGAATCTACATACTGTACATTCAGCTGTTTTCGAGCTCCTAGTTCTCTCACGTAATGAACATCGATTTCGATGTGTTTAGTTCTTGCATGAAACACAGGATTTACGGAGAGTGCACCAGCACTCATGTTATCACACCATATGACTGGTACATTTTTAACCTCAATCCCAAGTTCTTTAAAAAGATGTTGAGTCCATACAACTTCAGTGGCTGCTTGACTTAAAGCTCTATATTTAGCTTTAGTGGAAGAAAGTGAAATAACTTTCTGTTTTCGAGAACTCCATTGAACTAGATTACCTGTAAGAAACACAACATACCCACTGGTGGATCTCCTATCATTCACATCACTCGCCCAATCCGCATCGGCATACGCTTCAATAGTAAACTCTTTGTTTCTTTTAAAAACAAGTCCATAGTTCAGGGTACCTTTGATATACCGTAAGACCCTTTTACAAGCAGTCCAGTGAGCTTCAGTTGGATTAGATAAAAACTGGCTCAATTTGTTAACCGCAAAAGCCAAATCTGGTTGGGATAGAGTCAAGTACTGAAGACCACCAATTATGCTTCGAAACAATGTAGGATTATCAAACAAAGTTCCAGCATCTCTCACCAGTTTGGAATCTGTGGCCATTGGCGTGATACATGGCTTAGAATCTGCCATTCGAGCCTTTTCTAGAAATTCTTGGGCATATTTACTCTAAGTAAGCAGCAAACCGGAGTGATTTGTTTGAACCTCAAACCCAAGAAAGTAGTGCACAGCCCCCATTGTCTTGAGAGCAAACTGATTATTAAGATCCTTTACCACTTGGTCAATTAGAGAAGAATTATTCCCTGTTATCAATATATCATCCACATATACTAACAAATAAATCACATCAGAATCTTTTTTGTAGTAGAACAAACTTACATCAGAGGTTGAGTTAACAAAACCCCAAGTCAGTAAAACGCCTTTCAACTTATCAAACCATGCCCTTGGGGCTTGTTTTAAGCCATATAAAGCCTTATGAAGACGACAAACTTGCTGTGATTGAGAACTTTCAGAAAAACCAATAAGTGGCATCATGAAAACTTTTTCTGCCAACTCACCATTGAGAAACGCATTATTAATATCAATTTGCTGGATTCCCTAATCATAATAGATAGCCAAAGAGAACATAATACGAATGGTTGCTGCCTTCACTACCGGAGAAAACATATCAAAATAGTCGAGACCAGGAGTTTGTTGGAACCTCTTGGCCACCAATCGAGCCTCATATTTTTGTAAAGATCCATCAGAATTCAACTTCGTTTTAAAGACCCATTTGCTGCCTACAACATGCATTCCATCCTCATAGGGTACCATTTCCCAAGTATTATTTTTCATTAGAGCTAGATACTCAGCTTCCATAGCCTGTCTCCATTCTGGAATCTCCAAGGCTTCTTTAGTAGTTTTTGGTTCCTTTAGAATAATATGACTAAAGGACAGAGTTGATGTTGCAGTGGGAGTTGATGCTACAGGGGACTGAAGTTGCGTAGCAACATTAGGAGCAATTAAAGATGCTGCAGTGGACTGAAGCTGTGTAGCCACATTAGGAGCAGCTGAAGCTGGGAGAGAGGTGGAAGGGGGTGAAATAGCCAGATCAGTAGCATGGTTTGCATTATTCAATTCTGGTGAAGTTGTATGTGTAGAGAACAAAGCTTGAGCTGCTGCAGACTTGGATCTGGTAACCATAGGATGAACATTCGTGTCAATATTCACTGATCTGGAAGCGGAAGGGGCTGGAAAAGGTAGAACAACCTCTAACTGGATATTGGAAGAGGAAGGATGATCACTCAAGTCTTTTGTTGAAGAGTCTGCAAATTTGACTTCTAACGAACCTGCAAGCACAGTATTAACATTGCTGACTCTTGCTGAAGAGTCATCAAAATTAACTTCTGGGAGCCTGCAACAACATTAGTGGAAGAAGGTAAGTTAGTGTGATTTAATAAAACAGAATCAGCATCAGCTACAGCCTGTGATAAGGACCAGTTTGAACCAACTGAGCAGTGAAGATGGCATTTGAAACAAAGGCTGGAGAATCCTTATTATGAAATCCAGATTTAAAAGGAAAGTCAGTCTCATTAAATTTAACTTGTCTAACAATATAAATATGTCCAGAGGAAGCCATACATTTGTAACCCTTGTGATCAAGACTATACCCCAAAAATACACACTTCTCCGTGTGAAAAGACAGTTTATGTTGTTTATAAGGCCAAAGAAAAGGATAGCAACTACAACCATAAACTTTAAGCTCAGTAAGGGAAGGTTCATTTTGAAAAATGAGTTGATAAGAAGAAGCACCATTAATCACTGCTGAAGGTAATCTATTTAGCAGAAAAACTGTTGTGGCAAAAGCAGACCACCAGAATTTGAGAGGCATGGACGCATAGGCTAAAAGAGAGAGACCAAACTCAATAATGGATCTATGCCTCCTCTCTACTCTCCCATTTTGCTGGTGGAGATAAGGACAGGGATGACGAAACTGAATTCCATGTTGTTGCAAATACTGAGAAAAAGGGCGAAATTCCCCACCCCAATTAGTTTGAAGACACTTGATTTTAGTTCCAAGTTGATTTTCAACAAACACATGGAATTGAGTAAAAACATTATAAGCTTCCGACTTGAGTTTCAAAGGATAAATCCATGTGTATCGACTGTAGTCATCCACAAAAATTATGTAATACCTATACCCTTCACTTGACAACATAGGAGCTGGTCCCCAGAGATCAGAATAAATGAGTTCTAATGGGACTTTTGCTCTTGAGGTGGAACTAGGAAAATGGCACTGCTGTAGTTTGCCAAACTTACAGGCTTCACAAAAAAAAAAAAAAAATTATTACTATCATCAAGAACTTTTACATTCAGTTTCTTTAAAACAGAGTAAAGTGTCTTAGCACTTGGATGCCCTAACCTGGCATGCCATAACATGGCAGATTCAAAAACAACAGAAGTCTTATTTCTATCAGGAACATCATGAGTTACACTAGTAAAAGCCTTGGAAACATCTTGAAGGACAGGAACTGAGCAAGGGTCTGCTATGTTTGAATCTGGAGCTGCAGACTTTATTACTGAAGCTGGAACTACAAACTTTATTTCAAGGGAGACATCAGGGGATTGAAGGGATTTCCGCAAATTTTCAGCTGGAACAACTAACTGATATAGGCCATCTTTAACCAGACCTTGTAGTGACACATCTTGAGTGCTCTTATCCTTTACCAAACAATATTCAGCATGGAATTCAACAATCACATTATTATCTTTGGTAATTTGTGAAATACTCAACAGATTTTTAGCTATCTTAGGAACACATAATATGTTCTGAAGTTTCACAATCTTATAGGAATCAAATGAAGGCAGGAACATCATACCTGTGTGAGTGATAGGCAATGAGTCGCCATTACCAACTTGTACCTTAGAGGTGCCTGGATAATTGGATTTTATCACCATGTTTAAGGGATCAGCTATCATGTGGTTGGAAGCCCTTGAATCCATGTACCATGATTGATCATTAATGGTTTGAGGAGTAGCAATAGACTACCCAATGGTTCCGGAAGAGGAGCTACTATTTACAGAGGTTTGTTAAGGTGAGAAACCATAATGCTCAGTGTTGACAGCTGAACCATATGACATGCTATTAGCAGAATGCTTGTATGAAGGTAAGTGTGAGGTATAGTGCACAGAACCAGCAAGCTGTTGTTGAGTACCACCATGAACAAACATCTGACCAGGATATTGTTGAGCTAGTGGAGGACAGTTATATGCTGAGTAATCATGGTATCCAGCAACTGAGTTCTGAGCACTCCTTGGCAACATAGAGTTGGAAGCAAATAGAGCTTGAACAGGTTCATTTGACTTTAGAGGAAAGGAGGAACCAGGAAGGTTGTGGCCTATGTGCTCGTAATTAGAATTAGCTGTTGTAAAACTTGTGAAACCTTGAAAATCATGATCAAAATAGTGATAGCACTGCAATGCTGAATGCCCCGTTTTTCCACACACTTGACACACCAATCTCGGCTTAAAGTAACCTCTACCTCTTCCTCTTCCTCTTCCTCTTCCTTTGTTAAAGAAAGGTACACTCCTAGGAAGAAAATGTGAGGTAGGAGTATATGAGAGTCTATTTTGTTCAGCATTGAAAACTCCTGACATCTGATTTCCTGCAGTAAACTAAGAGTGAATAGGAGGTTCACCAATATTCATCTGAATTAGCTAAGACATCACATGCTGAGGCACAACACCAGAATGAACTCCACTCATGGGATATTGTAGAGGTATTCTAGATAAAGGAAAACTTTGACTTGAAGCTGTTTCAGATGGTTATTGTTTTGAAGCCATTAAGGCAGAGGACAAATGCTCATGAAAATTCATCATTGCACCATATTGTCTTTCTAAACGCATCTCATGTTTATGTAAAAGGAACTGGGCTTCTTGGAGTGTAGCATGGCTGCTGTTTGACTGAAGATTTGCAACAACGGCATCATACTCTGGTCCAAGACCATCCAATTTATATAAGAGTAACTCTTCATCATCAATATTCACTCCGCTAGCAATTAATTCATCCCCTAATTCTTTCATCCTCAAAACATATTCATTTATACTCTGTGACTCCTTTTTTGTTTTTTGTAACAAGTTTCTAAAATACAAAGTTCTTGCCTTTGAAAAGGACTGAAAATGAAATTCCAACGTATTCCATATTTCATACGCACTGTGACATTTTCCTACATGTCTAAACATTGACTCAGAAATAGACGAAATCAACCAACTCACCAAGAATTGGTCAGTTCGTTTCCACATATGATACTTAGGGTTTGGCTTTTTAATCAAATCTTCATTTTCTTTTGTTTTCTCAAATTTAAAGATTGAAGGACAAGGATTCTCACCGGTTACAAAACCATCCAATTCGTGAGATATCAGTGCTGGTAGAACTTGCGAACGCCAGTAATTGTAATTTTTGTCAGTCAATTTCACAGTCAGCGTGGGAAGTGAAGGTTGAGCTGCTTGGGTATGTGCATTTGCATTACCAAACTGCTTTATATCTGCTTTAGAGGTGTTATTGTAAAACTCAGGATTTAGATCTGCCATTGACATGTGTCTGAGGCTCTGATACCAAGTAGAAATTCAAGAAGAAAGCTTAAAGAACTGAACGAAAAAATGCAGAGAAGAAACAGAGAAGCTGTTATAACAAACTGCACTTTTTAGTAAAGTGTTTTTCTCATTAACTGTTTGAATCTTGCGCAGACACACTTATAATGCTGATGGTGTCTGAAACGCACCGTTTACATAACTCATCAGAGTTTACAAAATAACCCAAGCCATCTTTTCTATTCTTACAATTTCACCCCAGGTTTCTACAAACTAAACAAAACATAAACTGCAATAGAAACCAAAACAGAGCATGCGAATACAGAAAACAGAAACTCCTTTTTACGTCTGACACCTACACTTCATATCACAATATTTCCCCTCAAACTAAAACACTCTTGACCCAACAGAAGACTCCTGTTTACGTTTGACACCTAAACTTCATATCACAATATTTCCCCTCAAACTAAACCATTCTTGAACCAATAGAAGACTCCTTTTAAAATCTGGCACTAAGACTGCAGATCACAAAC